AGGAAAACAAAAGTAAAGGAAGGAAGAGAGAGGGGGATTAGCGTAAAGAACAATAAATGAGAGAGAAAGTGTAACGATAATGTTAGAAGAAATCGGTGGTATGTGAATACAACAAAAGAAGAAAAAAAAAAAAAAGAAGAAAAAAGAAAAAAAAGAAGAAAAAAAGAAAGAAAAAAGAAAGAAAAAAGAAAGAAAAAATCAGCAAAAACAATCTGGTTAAAAGTTACTCGCCGGATTTTCATTTCAGCCCTAAGTGAGTCGAATAATTTTCTGTCCCCTCTAGCCAAAGCCATTAACAAGCAATTGAAATGTCATTCCTAGATAAGCAGGCCGTCTTCGCCATTCTGCAAACAACACACGACTTTTTCTTGTCTTATCCCCTTTTTCCTTGTTCGCCTGTCATCTCTCTTCTATTTTCACCATACCCGCTCCACTCTTGAATTTACGCTATTTTTACTTGTTTGTCTTCTCTTTTACTTTCAACTCCTCACGCATTTTTGCAGATAGCCCACGACTTTTCCCACCCACCAAGTCTCGTCCACTTACCGTTCAACGTCCCTTGTATCTTTTTTTCGTTTTCGTTATTTATTTCATTTCTTTTTTTTTTTTCACTACTTCAGTATTCTTCTTGTATCTTCTCTCGGCATCAGTTTCCTTGAGTCATTGTTTTTCAATCTTCTCTAAAGCATGCATTTTCTTTATGTATTAAATTCATTTATTTTCCTTAGCCGTCTTGTATAGATGTCCTTAAACCTTTTTCTTCTCTCCCACCGTTTTTTTTTTTTATTTTTATTTGACACCCAACAAAACATCCCATGACACACGTAATCTCTTTGTCTCATCTCTTTCGGATATTCTTCCAATCCTCCTTAGATTTTTCTTAATTCACTCTTGCTTTTTACTGTTTCGTTTGTTCCTATGTCCTTCCTGATCTCTTTTCCCAAAACGCCCATAAACTAAACCATTTTCTCGTCTTTTGCTTTCTTGGACTTTGAAAGCCTTCACTTAGTCTTCATTTCTTTACTTTTTTATTCTTTTAGTCATTACCATTCTCTTCGCATACGCTCTCTCATAGTAATCTGTAGATGGATTAATCACATACATTCCTTTTGTCGAAACGATTTTTCCTTCGATACTTCTTACCATTTTATATACTTCTGTCTATTCCTTACCAATTCTTTTCTCGTACAATCAACGAAGTGAAGCAACTTCGAGCCTGGATGGGTGACCGCTTGGAAATACCAGGTGCTGTAAACTTGAATGTGCGGTTGGTGTAATAGATAATGGCTTGGAATTCCTTATCGGAGAGCCGAGCTCCAATTCAAGAAGGGTTTTTTTAGGCTCACATACGTGTAAATACCCTTAGGAAAGGTTTGAATCCACTTCATCACCTATGGGTTAGTCAAACGTTTATCACGAAACCTTTATAATCTTCGCCAAATTTCTTATAATCTAAAAATATTTTCTGAATTTAAATAAACTGCAAGGGGTTGATAAGCCGTAAAAAAATTAATGAATCAATCAATATTACTCAGATGAGAGCCACCTTCCCACTCTTCGAATCACTTGTAAAGGCTTTCGTCTCGTTTCGACATCCATTATGCCTAAGATGACACCTGAGACCAGCATTTGATTTCATAGATATCAGGCACATATAGCTATGACGACAGATAAACTCTGTGTCCTTAATTGGGTTGATTGGATCTTCATGGACTAAATAATTTTACTTCCTCCCCAGCTATGGGTTCATTAGTAAGATTTGTATAATTAAATTATTATTATCTCTAAAAAAAATCTTACAATCTAAAAGTATTTTCTGGTTTGAAATAACCCGCAAAGTGTTGATAAGTCGTGCAAAATAAATCAAATACTGATTAGCTACACTATTGGCATGTCATTAGATTTATTTACATTCTCTGGAATATAAATGGATAGAAACTACCGTGGCCACAAAATGAGGGATCAGTTTATATATTGATTGTAATATAGAATAGACCTCCACTTTATGTTTATCTAGCACTGATTTGGTTTGAATCCGCCTCTTCTCCCCCCCCACGTGACAGTTAAATAGTAAAGACTTGAATCACTAAATCATTATGCCCCAAAAATGTTTTCTGACTTTAACCCTAGAACACTAATCATAGGTATATAGTACCCAGCACAAATTTTCCTATTTTTACTTACAATTTTCAGTACCTGATTTTCTTAACTAAATAATGTTTTTCTGTTCCTATTAATGTTAATTCAAAGTACAAATTTTGAAGTGCCTGCATGTAAAATATTTCAAATAGAGATTTATATTTAATATTTTTTGGGATATTTTCAAAATCGGGTATGATATACCCATGGTTAGTAGTGGTGTAACTTTAACTGATGGTTAATGTTCTAGGGTTAAATAACCTTCAAATAGTTGATAAACCGTACAAAACGAATCATTCTTGTTCAATCTACTGTTTTTTTCATCTCTATATTTACATAGTAGATTTCTTGTTGTCAATGTTCCACGAGTGGCTTTCTTTCCATTAGCCTCTTTTATTCCAGAACATAGAAATCATGCTTCTCCACAACTTCTTATCCTATTTATAAATATCAACCGATGGAAGCACTGGCTGCTTGCTCTATGGTATGTCGAATCTTTCCATATAAGGAAACGGTTAATATTACATTACCATTACCATTTGATTGATTTGTTTCTTAAGGTTATCGATCTTTTGTAGGTTATTTAAATCTAGAAAAAAGTTTTAAATTGTAAGAATTATTTTTTAGATAATAGTAAATTGCTGATACAAATCATACTAATTAATCCATAGCTGGGGAAGAAAACGTGGTTCATATCTTACGGAAGTGTATTTGCGCGTAAGTGAATATAATGAACCTAACTGGAATTGGAACACGGTTCTCCGATTTCCAATCCTGTGTCGTTATCCATTGCACCACCTGCACATCCAAGCTTACAGCGCCTAGTATTGTCAAGCGGTCACCCAACAAGGTAATGACCAAGCTCGATGTTGCTTAACTTTGGTGATCGAACAGAAACCGGTTTAAGCCAATAATATTAATAGAAAATAAGATCAAGAAATTTGGCTGTACTCAGTTTTAGTTGCATTAAATAGCTTCAAATGTTTAAATTTGCCCAGTCTCACGTCAGGTAAAAGGCTTGCTGCATTCTCCTGTCTCACTTTCCCTCAATACGTCCCGTGAGGGTTATGTTTTCCAAGCCTTCCTTCCTCAGCAATTTCAGCTGTCTTTTCTGGATATGTGTCAATTCTGTTGCTTACTCGCTCCGTCCATCGAATTTTCATTATCCTTCTGGAGAAACACGTTTCTGCAGAGTCTAGTTTTTCCTCACCCGTGGGAATATTTCCCAGCATTCTATGCTATATAAGCAGATAGATATCCCACAGTAATTCAGTACAATTTGTTTCGTATCTAACTGTTCGTTATGGTGCCATTTTCTTTACGAATTCCTTGTTACCTACTCGCTCCGCACATGAAATTTTCAGTATCATTCTGGAGAACCACATTCCTACTGCCTCTAGATTTCTACTCATCCGTGGGGAAATTACCCAGCATTCTCTGCTATACTGGGTGTAACAGCAAAATGGTCCAAATCATGTGAAGCGTTATTGTCCATCCCACAAAATGTTTAATATCTAAAAATAAAAAAAACAAAAAAAAATGGCCAGATTTTCAAATAAGACGTTTAGCCATCTCGGTACCATTTGTCGTAAGAATCAGTGACAAGCCCTTTGAGTTATTTAACTAGAAAGAAAACAGGTTAAAATCGTTTTGTGTTAGTCCCACTGTGTCTTCTCAACTGAGCAATGGTTTGAGGAAAAAAAACCATTCAGGCCTTCAGTAATGGTATCAATATTCATACTCTGGCATTCATCTTCAAAGACCATTCAAGAACCATCACGAGAACTGTGAATAAGTTTTACAAAACAGGGAACAGTAGAGAGGAAAACTTGATCAGGCGGTCACAACAAGAAGAGGTACCATCATTTCAACTTAGATCTAATTAGAAAAGATCCAACTCAATTCATAAGTTGTTTGGCACGTTAGAGATGAGTTTCAGCTATGACAGTCCAAAGAGCACTGAAAAAAACTTGAAAATTAAATCGTACGTGAAACGTGTGAGGACAGAAACTAAGAAGGGTAGAAAGGGCGAATAAGTTGGACAATGATCCGGGAATAATATATATATATATATATATATATATATATATATATATATATATATATATATATATATAAACTTATTTCAATTCTTCATGAGCTTCCGATCTCTAGCGACGATTAATTAACGATGAACATGTCATTTTCATTTATGATCTATTTCATACGATTCTTCTGTTAAACTTTTAAAGTAATTATATATTTTTATTGCTCAAAGTAGAGTACAGTAGTGTTATAAAATCCTCGGAGATTTCCAGTAAGATATCTTTAATCATTTCTAAGATGCAATGGTTCATATCTTAATCTAACAATTACATAATTTTGCTGTTACACGATTTGAACAATTTTGCTGTCACATTCGGAATAAGCAGATGGATAATCCCGCAGTAATCCAGCACACTTTTGTTTGTTTCTAACGAAATTATTTCGTTTCTCATCACCTTGCTTAGCTTTTGGAATGCTTCTTTCGCTTTATCTTCGGATCTCGGTGTCGTATTTACTAGAAGATGGAATTGTGACATAAAGTTTATAAAACAGTTTCGTCATCCTCATTATCTTCTGTTTTTTTTCTATTTCCACAATTTTCATTGACGTCTTCATTTTCTTTAGCGATAGTACAAAATGATCAAAAGAGACTCTCTTTAGCCCCCTCTCTTTTATCTCTCGGTCTTTTCATTTTATTTTCTTATTTAATTCTGTTTTTTTTTTTAATTCTTTCTTTTATTTTCTTTCATATTTTTCTTTAATATATTTTTAGTTCTTTTCGTTTTTTGTTTTCTTCCATCCAACATTTTACAAACAACCGATGAATTTTCCAAGTCATGGGAAGTTTTCATAACTCTCCTATTTTCTCCATTCTCTCTTTCTCAATTTCACGTATTTTCCAAATCGTCTCACGAGTCATCTTCCAACACCCACTCCCTGATTTTCATATTTTCTTTTCCCTAGCAATTATGAAAAGTAACTCTCGATCAAGATCTTAGTTTTCTTCTTCCATCTTTTCTTGAGATTTCAGCTTCATCCTTGCACACTTCGTTACAGTGCTTTTTATTGTTGTTCATCCTTGTCTTTATTCTCTATTTTCATAAAGATGGCGTCTGCCCCTGACGAGGAACATTTTGTAATTTCTTTCCAGTTCTCTTTTGTACTGGAGTGCCACGGGTCGCAATTTAACGTTCTCTCGCTTCGCATTCACTTTCCGTATTGCACACTTCCACTTTCCCACTTTGCCTTTCTACTTAGTCAAGTGTACTAAGAGAGGCTGAACATTTCCACGCATAACCCAATTCTCCAAAATCTGATCAAATTTCATATTCTTTGTTTGTTTGTTTGAAACGCTGAGGGGTTTTCGCATATGGTTTCCTGCTGAATGTTTATAAAATTTATCCAAGGAATGACGTTCGACAAATATTTTCGAAAATTTTATTTATGTGTCGAAATTATCTCTGTCTATAAAAAAAATATTCCAGTAATTATAACACTCGGACATAGGAAATATATATTTTAAATATGAACGTGAAATCTAGAATAAAATCAGAAACATCGAAAAAATAACAAAGAATATTCTTTGGCATTTAACTTGTATAAATGTAACATTGATGAATATATATATATATATATATATATATATATATATATATATATATATATATATATATAATACTAATAATCTTATAAATATAAACAGCTATACTTGTCCAGCAAAGCCTTACCCAAGGGAAAAAAGCAAAAGAAAGAAATAACTAAGAACATGTGCATATTCTTTGGCATTTAACTTGTATAAATGTAACATTGATGAACAAATGAACACAATATATATATATATATATATATATATATATATATATATATATATATATATATATATATATATAGTCGCGTGCTAGTCTGAATGTTATAGATATCATCTTGTTAATGTAACGGTATGTTAATCATACATATTCAAAAATTATATAGAATCATCTTCAATTATATTTTACTGTAGCAAAAAACAACACATTGTAGCGCAATTTGTTTTGGTGTAATACCGATAAAATCCTCTTAAGGCAATTATACTAAAATTGAGAGGCATTTGTGTCTGGGTAATTTTTCATTATATATATATATTGACAAAAATAATGACTGTCCAAAGTAGGTCAATTAATTGCTAATTACTGAACTGTTTTAGTTTCATAAATAAAAACCTAAGAGTAGAAAGTGGGGATGAATGCAAGTGAAGGTCTGTGTTTATCTCGCTCGTGATATTGGAAGATTAGTTATAACAGCTTAAGGTAATTAAAAATAAAAATGAATAAACGATAATTATCATCTGAAAATAATTATATCTACACCTAAGTTTATATCAAGCGGGTTTGACAGACGGTGGCATTTAAGCGACAGAAAAATACAGTTAAATGAAAAGATGTAATGTTTTCAATCAAGGAAAAGACTTTAGAAGGAACCGGAAACTGAATCCTAAACAGGAAACAAGGGATAAGCTTAAAGTCGTGAATATGAAAGAAACGGACAAATACTTTTGAAAACGAGATAAAAAAAAAAAAGGAAATGGCAATCCTTTTTTTTTATATGAATCCTTTCGGAACAATCAAAGTAGAATGTTACGCGTAATGATAATGAATCATCCGTGTAATATAAATTAAAATGAAGGTGGTAGGGAGGGAATATCATGATGTTTAAGACTAAAGATAATGGTTGACGCTTAACTTGAAAAAGGTTAAGTTTAAAGTGTTTTGGGAAGCAAGAATGATGGAAATTCAGAAACTGGCATATCTTTGGAAAAATAAGTCTAAATTTTTTACGTTTGACACATGCATAGAAAAAAGGGTGTGTTGTCTCCGTGAGTGTCTCAGCTGTAGAATTCCGAACTGGCAGAACTAAAGACTGGTGCGCAACCGAATATTTACCATGGAAATAGCAACAAGATAGCGATGGGCTTGAAATGTTGCATAAGGGAGAAAGAGGCTGCATAGTGTAGAAGAGATCTTCATCCCCAAAATCGTGTCAAATATTTTGAACTCTATCAAGACTGCAAAGTAGGCATTGAGTAGCTCCCACACAGATGTAGCAGAAATAATCCATTGTTGGTCCAATCTATCTTTTATAAAGATAAATCATAGCAGAAGCTAAAGCGTACTTCCTGGAGAGATAGTGTTATGGGATCTTACCCATAATAATAATGGACTATTCCATACTTAATAAATACTACGCTTCAGGAGTAGGCGAAGGGGTCAGTAGTTCGAGTCAGTCGTTCAAGTCAGTCAGTAGTTCAAGTCGAGTCATGAGTCGAGTCAGAGGCAGTCCGAAACAGAGTCGCGTTCAGACCATTACTGCAAGACATTGAAATAGTGATACTGATCGAGAATACATTGTTCTCTCTACTAAACCTGATTGTTCATACTAACACTTCTACTTCTCTGTATATATTCCTGTTTGTAATATATCTGTGTTATTCTATACCTGTGTTCGAGTTCTTCTTTATTGGTTCTAACTTAGACTATCACCGTGGTATAAGGAACCCGACCATAACAAATAGAATGAGTAATTATTTCCCCAGCACCTTTCAGGCAGTGGCCTGACAACTCTGCCAAGTTTTGAGATAATTTAGACGAAAGGTTCTCAAGTATAATAGCAGGAATGTTATCTGAATCAATGGCTTTCTTAGAATCAATGTACTTGGTTAATCTGGAACTCCCCCTAGCCCATATAACGAGGTCACAATTCTTATGCTTCCATAAGAAGGGGAAAGTAATCGTTCCAGCGTGCGGCACCTTTGGAAAGTGCCTGAAAGCCATACCACGGGTTGACCCAAGCCTTGTCAGTGAATTTGGGTAGACGGAACACTTGGGGCGGTCGATAGCTGTGCTAGCGCAAAGTCACAAGTCATCGTGACCGAGGGTTTGAATGCGCTGGTGTTGTTCAGATTGCTGATCATTCTAGATAACACACTCTCTCCCAGAAACTGTAACTATGGTCTGCTCAGCATAGTTGCAGTCTAAACTACAGGTGGGCTCTGTGGGTGTTAAACAAACACAAATGTGCCTGAACGAGAGTCTGCAATAACGATTGGCTAGTCGCCTTAGTCGATGGCTATCCTCGAATACGAGTGGCCAGCTATTATTATTATTATTATTATATTTGGATGTATCCTGAAATTCAGTATATTACTCAAAGGTACTTTTGAACAGATATGTATGCAAAACAAAAGAAAATATTCTAGATTATTGCATCTTTTGATTATCCTTCGACATTAAGTGAAAAGCGCTTTTGCTATGAAACTTCCAACAATTTTTACTATCGACGATTCCCAAATGTTAAGGTGTAAGAATAACAATTGCAAGAGAATTCAATACACAATCATAAAAGATTGTGTATCAGTGAATTTAGGAAACATAAAACCATTCATTGACAACTCAAGACGTTTGTTACAGTAGAATTGTTCACTAGAGATATGGAATATTTTGTGAATTGGAAACGTTCCAGCAGTTAACTCTCGTTGCGTTTATGGCTTAAATGAGGGTCCAATTCTTAAACTGGTATCAATGTTCCAGAATCCTACGGATGGATGATGAAATGGTGATCCCTAATGATATACCAACGCATGATCTTTAAACTCAAAATGGTGTCTGTCTTCGATGGATTCACACGGCATTTTATGCTCAATAGAAAACAAATAAAAGTGACAAGTAGAGTGTGTGTTTGTGTGTCTCTGTGTGTGTGTGTGTGTGTGAGAGAGAGAGAGAGAGAGAGAGAGAGAGGGGGGAATATTGGAGGGGAAAAGGAAAGTAAAAGACAAAAAAGTAACAGGCAGAATAACAGAAAGATTAGAAAGAACCTTTCATTTTGGGGTGCATAAAATCTCGCTACTTTAGCCTAATCTTCTTCCATTTCTCGTTCATTGTTTTTTTTTTATTTAAGAATGAAAACTTAAACTTTACATTTTGTCTTAGTCCTCTATGTGATTAAACCTACCGACATTATCAGATAAGATCACTTGCATTATTTACATTATTCGGATTGTTATCCACATCTTCATTGCCATGTTCACATCGTTTCTTGAGATGACTGGAATTTCGCCCATTAGATTGTTTTAGTTCCACGTGCCATGCCTCTTCCGGATGTCTCAGTTATTTCCCTTTAAATCAACTCCACAAGTTTTGGGTCCACCACTGCTGTAGCCTGGTATTGAACTCTTTGGGTCTAATTATTGGATCTGACCAGAGCGTTTATCCACTGAGTCATGTGTTCTTATGGATATAGGCGTTGGTTATATAGAACAGTTTAGTATAGTATTTTTTTAAATCGAATTCATTTGAAAAGTTGTGAATATGACAATGAAGTTGAGGATAACAGTCTGAATAATGTAAATAATGTAAGTAATCATAGTAATTACATCTATACCAGCCTGCTCATATCTATCTATCTATCTATCTATCTATCTATCTATCTATCTATCTATCTATCTATCTATCCAAGTTACTAGACCAAAAAGTTGTGAGTTCAATAACAGGCCACAACAGTAGAAAATCAAACTTGGGGAGTTGAGTTAAAGGCAAATAACTGAAATATACGGAAGAGGCATGGCATAAAAATAAAGGGTTCCGTTCGAAATTCCAATCACCCGAAGAAGGCCGGAGCAGCACACGGCCGAAACGTTGTGAATATAGCAATGAAGATGAAGATAACAGCTGTGACGTCCCTGAACACAGCCTTCGCTCGCTCCTCGCTGCTTCGTTCGGGTGTCGCCGCTCCAAACGTGACGTTGTCCCGTCCTGTGACGACCAACTAGTTTGGTATCGGTCGCGGCACCCAAATGTGACGTTCTAACCTTTTGGTGATTCGGATGGGAATCTGGTTAGATTCGATATCAGCCTCGTCGTTCCCAACTCGCTTCCAACGTCTGGTTACCAAAGTAACTGCGTTGATCTCCAGTCTGCCTATCCACGTTGTGAATTGATCTTAGGCAGACGAAATCAATCAGTAGTTGGGGCCGTAATTCAAATAGAGTTCAAACGGGGGTGACACCGCACAAATATGCATAAAAGAAAATAAAATGATAACTCAAAAGTTCAAGGTATCAAAAAAGGATAACAAACTTTATGTCTAGTTGTTGGATACATAGGACTGCGTCTATCTCTCGACCCGTTCTATGGATTGTGACACGTTGTTTTCCGTTAGGCGAGTTTTAACACTTCAAGTTGTTTGCTCTTTAAGAAATTGTGTTTTTGGTGTGTCTTCGGGCGAAAGTCGAAAAAAAAAACTTATTTTGGTGGTCTGGATCTAAGTCGCTCTCCAAAATAGTTGTTCTTGGATTGAAGATGAGTCCGGAAATTGCGCGAATCTTGGTCAGTCGATGCGAGCACCCTTCAACTCTCCGGGAAACTTTCCGCAACAACTCTCTGCTGGAACTCTCTGCTGGAACTCATTTTCGCTCGCTGCGACTTCGCTTATATGGACGCCGACAAAAACCGGGATGGGTTTGTCGGCGCCGGGGCTTTCCTCGATAATTCTAAATACCTATCCACTTCTTTTATTTTTGGTTAGGAATTTTCCACTTCTTTCCATTTTTTGGGAGTCTTCTCTTACTCCCACCTTCTCACCATGCTTCAGGGGGGTGTCGGCTGTCCTCCCCACTTCCTCGTGGCGACCTCTCATACCCATCCTCTAAATGGGCGGTGACAGCTTCCTCCTTGCGTCACGTGATCACCACTCGGCCAATGATGTCCAGCCGGTTTTGTTTCAGGGAAAAAAATATCTTGCTTAAAAAAAATTATCTTTTTCTTTTCCTTTTCTTTCTTTTAATCGCAGTTCTCATTTTCTCTGGCCGCAAATAGAACAATGCGATCGGTGGTGGTCATAACTCTTGTTCTCACCTGGACTTCGTCAGTCAGATTATCGCTAATTATCAGAATGGGTGGTCTATTTGACACAACACAATCGTCCGTCGCCTCGAAAAAAAAAAAAAAATTTCCATGGTTCCATTCATTCTTTGGTGCACATTTCTGATAACATAGTTTTATTATCGCAGCTAAAGATGTCTTGTCAAAAGAAAAACGGTCAGTCGCCACCTCGTGTGCGGCTTTGACACAATTAATTTTTCATATCTATCCAAAGCCCTGTAGTTCACCTGTTTTTTGTCAATTATCAAAATAACATTTTCAATTGAATTTTTTTTGGCTAGTCGGTCTGTGGTTTGCTTAATCAGATGTTTTCCCGCATTAGCGGTTTGTTTATGTATCCCCGATAACACAGTCCGTCGCCAGAACACAACGATTCCTTTATCCACTTAGAATTTTTCTGCCATTGTAATGACAGTTTTTACCATTTGCTACTTATCAAAATATCCTTTATCCATTGTCTCTTAGTGGTGGGTGTCCTACTTATCATCCACGTTTGGGTCTCGCCTCTCTTTTCCTTTCTTTCCTTCCTCTCTTTCCTTTCTTTTCTTTTTGCCTTGGTAAATGGTGCCACACAGCCCGAATAATGTAAATAATGTAAGTAATCATAATACCTCATCTCAGAGATATAGACAGATATCAAATAAGATCAGTTTAAAAAATGGTTATTGATGCTCAAAATCCCGTTGTTGGTCACTGGTATTTCTCTTACTAATATTGATCCTAAACAATGTTCAAGAGCCAGTCAAGATAGAGGATTACTAAAGGAAGTTGTTATATGTACCACAAGAGTAAGAGGTAAGAGGTGCAAATTTATGATATTATGGGGAATGATGAAGGTTTTCCCTATATTTAAAGAGGCTAAGATTGTAGTAGTTGGTGAAGCATCCTCTCAGGAGCTGGTTTCACAAAAGAGTGGTTTGTGTGAAGAAGTGGAACTACCTCCTTACTAATGGAATACAAAGAGATTTAGGATAGTTCGACTCAATTTATGAGTATATCAGGTTTTAAATTGTTACGCTCAGATGTGATGCATCTAATGTATGTAGCTCGTCTGAAAAATTCCCTGGCGATAAAATTGCAACGTTTCGTCCGTCAAAAAAGATTGCAGAGTGGAAGATAATTCATCACCCATAAGGCCATGTAGACGATTTTGAACTGTCTAGACTGGAATGTGAAAGTTGGACAGCTCTTTCCCAGATATGGCAGGAGTAATTCATTTTCGGTCTGGTCCGGTTGCTGTAAAAGAAGAGCAAAGTTGGAGGAGTCAGATACTTACTGGACTGGTAAAGGCATCTTTAGCTATGGATCGTATATGAGTTCGACTTGAAATCTGCAGTGAGTTTAACTCCCAATAGGTTTTCAAGGTAAGGGAGCCACCTTGAGAGAGCACTCGTTTATCGCGATAGTCGACTATTCAGAGTCGTTTAGGTGATGATCGAAACTTACTAGTTTGTTTTTTTCAAATTTAGTGAATGTTGTATTCATATGCTTATTTCTACCATATAAATAGCAGTAGATACAGATAGAGGCTAAACTAATACTAACCTTGAAGACAAAACTACTAGAAAAGTAGTAGTGAATACTTTTAACTAAGTACTGTTTATAACATTCTATTCACTAATATTTCTCTAGTAGTTTTGTCTTCAACGTTAGGTTTAGCGGTATCTAACAGGGGCTAACGTCGTAGTCGGATGCGACACAAGATCCAGGTTTAAAGTGGGCCTAACGGCCATGCTATCCACAACTTCACAAGCCCTCTCAGCCCGTCACCATTCAGAGACGCCTCAGGCACTCGGCAATAAACTCCCTAGGTAGAGCTGCTGTCTGGAGGCGGGGGTCTTTGAGGACCTATGAGATTGGGCTAATATTCAATGAATACCAAACCCAGCCAAAAGATTAGGTTTAGTTTAGCTTCCAGCTGTATCAATTATTAATTATGTGGTGGAGATTTTCATATGAATACAACATTGAATGTAACAAGTCACAATCACTACTGAGCAGTTAGAACCAGGTCAAAGCAGAGACTACCTGCAAGGCTCTGTTCATCTAAATTCATGGAATTGTACACATATAACGATCTATCACCTGCCTAGAAATTTATTAAAGATCAGAGTATTTTGAGGCTACTCTGACCGATCATTACTATTGAGTAAGGAGTTCAGCTGTTATTTCGAAAAAAATCATTTCTAAAATGTTCTAACTTAAGGAAGGCTACTAAAAAGAATAATCAAACGAAGGTTGGTAATGAACGATAATACTTAGGACAAGAATAACACATAAAAGATTCGCTAGCGGCGCGTGAAAGAAGTAGTCAACTGCTAGAAGTGAGCCAAGTGAATTCCACAATGAATCTCCAACTGCAGAATATCTACCAACCGACCCACGCGGTCAGATGTGGCACAAGACCGAATTTAGCCTGAGGTATCCGATCCCGTAGGCTCGGCCAAAAATTCCCCGTTGACCCCGTACAAAACGGGGTCGAGTAGCTGTTTCCCGTGACAAGACTCTATTCTTCGACGCAGCCTCGACTGGGGATCCTCTCTGCTCGGAGCCAGAGAGTTTGACCAGCAGAGCTGGAGACGAATCAACAACTGCAGACCAACATACAGTATTTACTACTGTATTTATGTGAATGGGGACATAAACATTATCGCCCGTAGGTATGCTATAAGAAAAACTGCCATATAAGTACGTTAGTTTCTTATCGGATGCTTTATTAATTTAAACACGTTATTATGTTAATTCATTATATTGTTATTATATTATGTTAATTCACAAATATACACACAGAAAAGCCATTCAGCAAAAAACGATTCGTTTAAAGGAAGTTGATTTTTCAACACCATGATTATTGTATAATCCTTTGGTAATTTTTTATCGTTTTAAAAGTTATTTGTAGAATTTTAATATTCCAACTTGAAAACATCTCCAGCACAATTTTTTTCAACTAACCATGATCTTCAAAAAATTAAATCCAATGTCAACCGTTAGCTGTTGTCTTCTGATAGTTCTCCTATTGTTCTTGATCCTTAATAATATTTCTGTTTTCTACTTCTTTCCACCCAGTAACCCTTTGTATCTTTAATCAAAATCACCCCAAGCAAGAGAATAGGAAATATAAAATAATTAGAAAACAGAAACTTTATCAAGGAGTGAGAATAGAACAGATTCATATATTATTTTTTTCAATCGAATTCACCCAAAGCAAGATTGTATGAAATGTAAAAGAAATAGAAAGTAGAAATCGTATTAAGAAGCCAGAACAATAGAACTGTTTCATATATTATGTTCTTTTCAATCGAATTCACCCAAAACAAGGAAGTAGCTGTGTTTTATGAAGCATGGATACATGTCATCATTCGTAGTTGGAACACTGCCATTGAAAGATATATTGACTACTTTGTAAAGTAGCGATGTGAACTTATGATGTATAGCTATATTTTGATGTACGATAATGCTTGATTATATTCCTCATTTCTTATATAATAAAACAAATTGCATCTCTTTTTGACTCACTCTCGTACTCATCACTAACCTTCCGAGTAATCAAGGTCCCTTAAATACTGAACCGTAACACTGCTATTTTAAGGGCAAAGTTGATCGTCAAAATATACAGCAAACGCTTGATTTAACGGCCCCCAATTTAAATAATATCACATTTAAGAAACAACTCCTGCATCACATAGACAATAACGTACTGACATTTATTTTTCCTAAACGAATTTAATGCTAGAACTATGGGTAAATAGCAAGACAGACAGACAGGGTTCTATAGCTCTGGATGGCAACTACTCTACCGCAGAGGGAAATGGCAACCTAATGCGGGAAAAAAAATCTGCCACGTCAAATATATCTAAAGATACATGATTGCCTAATCGTGTATCACGCATGGCACATAACTGACTGACTGACCCTTGTGAAAGGTATGAATGCTATTTTTCTCCCTCCCCAACTGATTGGTAAATAGTAGGGCAGACCGGGTTCTGTAGCCTTGAATGGCAACTGGTCTACCGCAGAAAGAATTGGCAACCTACTGCTGGAAAAAATCTGCCTCGTCAAATATATCGAAAGATACATGATCGCCCAAGCGTGTATCACACATGGCACATAACTGATAACAATAAAATATATTAAAAGTTTTTGGAATATAAATATATAGAAACTACCGTGGCTACAAAATGCGGGATTAGTGTAAATATTGGTTATAATACAGAATAGACCCCCACTTTGTATCCACATTATTATTTCTTTTTCTTTTTTTATCAAATTTTGATTTGGTATGAATACTCTTCTCCCGCTAGCTATGGGTAAATAGCAGGACAGACCGAATTTTATAACCATGAATGGCAGAAAGAAATGGCAACCTACTGAGGGAAAAAAAATCAGCCTCGTCAGTCTTGTATCGAAAGATACATGATCACCTAAGCGTGTATCACGCATGTCATTTTAATTTAGTTACATGTCTACCTTGTTAGCTAGAAATTTAGCTGGGAATGTTAAATCTAGACGATTTCGGCTAATTTTTAATAATTTTAAAAACAGTTTCACTATAAATAACAATCCCTGCTTGGCAACAGTGTGCATGTGTGCGGGTGTGTGAGGGAGTGTAAGAGAGAGAGAGAGAGAGAGAGAGAGAGAGAGAGAGAGTTTAGATAGATAATGTTTTGCCAAGGTCGCTTGTTTATTGTAAAGGGGTGATCGTAGTGATTCTCCGGTGTGTGCACTGAAAAAAAAAAAGGAATTTTTGGAAAGACGATTCTAGTACGCGCAGATGTGGTTACAGATGAGTCTCTTCAGATAGATAGATACTTGTTAAAACTGACACATTTTTCATTCAGTGCTTATTATCACCATCGTCATCACCAAATTTCTTTCTTGGGTACGTTTTTGATTTCCAATTTATTCTGTAAACCTTTTTTTTTTTCAGTAAGTGTTTTTCCTTTTCAGATCTTCTATTTTACCAGATTGAATTTTTGAATTCTAGCCAACGACCACGAGCAAATCTTTTACGCCTTTATCTTATGTGCATTTCCAATTTTTCTGACTTTTATCAGTACAAGTGATATTAAAATGTACATTACGCTTACAGTACCACTTCCGAAAACCCTCTCAGGATGGGTATACATTTATTTATGTGATATTTTATACTTTTACGTAACATTACTCATTTACGGGCCGACTGTCTTGTATTTAAGAAAACGATATTCATGAAATGCAATGATACGCATAATTTTCTCCTTCTTTACGAAATGAACGCTTTATCGGATTTAAAGGACTATCGGATTTAAGGAACTAACCTAAGCTGGCTTTTTAAATCGAGGTTTTATTGTACGTAACAACGGTAATTACGACTACAGTGAGTTCAGATCCTCACAGGGTGCTCAACACTTTCGGCCTCAAGCTGTGCTTAAAATATCATTTGGGGACTTCGCCGTGGTGTAGTGTTTTAGCAAGCAATTTTGTCTCGAAATGAATTACGACTGTAGTGAATTCGAAGCTCACTGGGTGCACTACACATTTGGCCTTGTGTCACAACTGAATTACGCTTAGAAATCGCTTGGAAATTTTGACGTGGTGTCATGGTTAGTAATCTTGTCTTACTAGATTAATTACTACTGAATAATGAGTCGATCCTCCGAACTTATGGCTGCGCTTAAAAAAAAAACATTTTTTTTTGTTTCCGAACGAGATCCTGATATTAATTTTATGTTTCCGTTTCTCATAGACTACACCAATCTCGTTTCTGATATCTATACCTTTTATTTTCTTGTTATTTTAATTTTGCATAGGAGTCCAAGAATTTTCTAAAAAAAACTTCATTTGTGTTCTCTGTGTATTTGCTAGGATTATCGAAAACGAATAGTTCGTAAAATTTAAAGTACAGGGTGGACCGAAAGATTTGTCACCCCCCTTTCAAAAACTAATGAGAACAATAGAAGAACAATTGAAGTCATGTCTCACGTCCTTCATGCTCTTGCCAGAATGCACACGATCATGCGTCCATACACTTGTAAGCAGCCTCTCTTTCAAACTGTAGGAAGCTCGTTTCAACCTTTGGAAATAGAAAATATCATGTAAGGGTGACAAGACTTTCGGACCAACCTCTTTATCATTGTCTGTACGTTCTGTTGCATGCTTCCGTATACTTACTGGATCAATAAAATTATTATTATTTTAATCATTTCACCCCAAGCAAGGTAGTAAAGCCACTAAGATACAAGGGGTTACTGATTGCGAAAGAAGAAGAAAAAGAAAAATATTATTAAGGAGTGAAATGGAGATAAACCGAGAAAACAGCAGATAACGGCGGTTGGCATTGCATTTACATTTCTGAAGATCAAAGTTGGCTGGAAAGCAAAAAGCCGGAAGGGAGTTCCACAAGCATTTATTTCAGCAAAAGATAAAGTTTATGATATTTATTCGTCTTAATCTGGCACAAGGCGACAGGATCGATTCCTTCCTCGAGAATCGATCTCATTATTATTGCAGCAAATCTTCTCTGAGAACGGGCTTGTTCATTGTCGCTCTACACCAAGCGTCTTTACCAAGCGTCTTTACCAAGCGCCTTTACTACTAATACTACTACTTTTATTATTATTATTATAATTATTATTTCGATGATGATGATAATAATAATTATTATCATCATCATCGAAATGTGCAAAACAATTAAAAATTCCAGTCTTAACGACATAGACTGAGGTTCGGCAGATCGGAGTATTATAAATCAGGAAGATAATCGACTTTCCATCTTAAATCGCGGATATACATTTGTCTTTGGAACCTGCCCAGGGGGCGAAACTCTTGACACATTTCTTTGCCAGGGTGGGATGGGAAATCATTCTATAAGCGAGACAATCTTTGCACCTGCTGCAGCGTCTTTTTATTGTGTAGATTCATTTCTGGTCAAAGCCAAGTGACGACAGCCTTGGTCATTGAACGTGATTAATACTGTCGCTTGTCATTGCTGTGATGAATGGTCGAATAGTATTTAGAAGACCACGTGATCAATGGTTTGCATTCCGATACTTTCTTTTCCTTGTAACTCCTTTCATTTTACATTCTCTCTTTATTTGCTTGGTTGTTTTCTTCCTTTTTTTGTTGCTTCTTTCTTTTTTTCTTTCTTTCTTTTTAAGTTTCTTTGTTTATTTGCTTCTTTCTTTCTTTCTTTCTTTCTTTTGTTGCTTCTTCCTTCTCTCTTTCTTTTTATTCATTGTTTTTCTTTCTGCTTTTAATCTTTTAAGCTTCTTTTTTTCTTTGTTTCTCTCTTCTTTTACTTCTTTGCTTTTTTCTTTGCTTTCTTTCTTTCTTCTTTCTTTTTAAGTTTCTTTGTTTATTTGCTTCTTTCTTTCTTTGTTATATCGTCCTTCTCTTTTTCTTTTTATGTATTGTTTTTTTTCTGTTTTTAATCTTATAAGCGTCTTTGTTCCTTTGTTTCTTTCTTCTTTTACTTCTTTGCTTTTTTTCTTTGCTTTTTTCCTTTCTTTCTTTCTTTCTTTCTTTCTTTCTTTTGTTGCTTCTTCCTTCTCTCTTTCTTTTTATTTATTGTTTTTCTCTCTATTTTTAATCGTTTTAAGTTTCTTTGTTTCTTTCTTTTACTTATTTCCTTTCTTTTCTTTATTATTTGCTTTTTCCGTCTTATTCTCTTTCTTTCTTTCTTTCTTTCTTTCTTTCTTTCTTTTTTTATTTGTTTTTTTCTGTCTTTCCTTTATATTTGTTTGTTAGTTTCTTTATGTATTTTATTTACTTTTTTTGCAACGTAACAAACCGATAATTAAAAAAATAAATAAATAAATATATTCTTTAATAAATAAACGTGGCCTTATCTCAAATACAAGTATCCACTAAAATATCTATCATGTCATCCCATAAGTTCTGCCCGAATTTTGAATAAATAAAACAAGTGACCAAATGTTACATTTAATTACAGATTCAATCAACAATGTATTTTCCCTGATTATTTATGACTTCCTTCCGTCTATTAACAAGCTTACTAATTCCATTACTGTAAAATTCTTTTGGCTTTGATTCTAAGAACTCACAAATGTCAGTTTTAACCTCTTCCTGTGTTACAAAAGCTGTTTCTTCTAAATGATTCTGTAAGCTACGAAATAAATGGTAGTCTGAAGGAGCAAGATCGGGAGAATAAGGTGGATGAGAAATTTTCTCCCAACCAAGTTTTTCGATCTTTTGTGACGTGATTCTTGCTGTGTGGGGTCGCGCATTGTCCTGATGAAACATCACCTCTTTTCGATTCACTGGATCAGGTCTTTTTTTCCTCAAAACTTGGTTCAAACGCTCTAATTGCTGACAGTATATTTGAGCATTAATTGTTGCATTAGGTGGTAAAAATTCAAAGTGGATTATTCCTTGGAGATCCCACCAAATTGAAAGAAGAACCTTTTGCCCATGAAGTTCCCTTCTCAGTTATGGCTGGGGTCCTTCCCCTTTACCAAGACACTGTCTACGACGCTTAACATTTCGATAAAAGATCCATTTTTTGTCGCCAGTCACATGTCTATCCAAAAAAGGTGAAAAAAGTTTGCGAGAATGGAGAGAAGAGCAGATGTTAACTCGGGATTTGAGGTTGTTTTCAGACAATTCATGAGGCACCCATTTTCCAAGTTTAGGAACTTTTCCAAGTTGTTGAAGATGACGATGAACAGTTGTATGGTTTGAACTGAGAACCACTGCCAATTCCTCAACTGATAAAGCAGGATTTTCTTCAAGGGCTGCTTCAAGAAGCTTTTCATCAAACTCAACTGGACGTCCGGTTCGATCTTCATCTTCAAGGGTGAAATCTCCACCTCTGAATTTTGCAAACCATCTTCTGCAAGTTCTTTCATTCACACATTCCTCTCCATAAACTGAGTGAATGTTTCTAGCCGCTTCGGCTGCTGAGTTTCATTTCTTGAACTCATAAAGCATTATGTGCCTCAAATGATTCTTGGGTACCTCCATGTTAGCAGGGTTTTAATCAAACAAAATTTAATTTTATTGTTCTCTGAAATAAAATTTGATCAGTTTAAATGAATCTAGACATAAAAATAATGTTCAGCTCGATTAGACATTATAAAATACTCTTTAATTTCGTTCATTTTAACAAAAAGTTAAAATTCGGACAAAACTTATGGGATGACCTGATATCTATCTATCTATCTATCTATCTATCTATCTATCTATCTATCAGCACTTCATCCCAAAAATATTCCCTGATTCTATATACGAAATTAAGGGAACTGGTAGTTTAACCCTAGAACACTAACCTTGGGTATATAGGTGATAGAGATATGGTAGTGCCGACGGATGCTGAGAATCACATGGGCATAACATGTGAGCAATGAGGAAGTTTTAAAGAAAAGAGAAAATACACGGAAGATTAAACTTACAATTAGAAAATGGCAGCTGAAATTTCTGGGACGCATAATAAAGAAAGAGGGCTTGGAGAATTTAACACTCGAAGGGAATGTCGAAGGCAGAAATGATAGAAGAAAACATCGGGTAACAAGAACAAATGGATGGTAAACATCCAAAAATAACTTAGAGCTACAGGAAGATGTGGAGAGCTATGATCGACTACATCCTTAAAGTAATTGATACATAAAAAAGAAACCAGGTTCTTAACCCTAGAACACTAACCATGGGTATATAGTACCCAGCGCAAATTTTTCTATTTTTAATTACAATCTTTTCAGTACCTGATTTTCTTACCTAAATAATATATTTTTCAGTTCCTATTAATGTTAACTTAAATTACAAAGTTTAAAGTGTCTGCATGTAAAATATTTCAAATAATGATTTATATTTAATATTTTTTTTTTTGATATTTTCAAAATCGGGTATGATATACCCATGGTTAGTAGTGGGGTAACTTTAATTGATGGTTAGTGTTCTAGGGTTAATTTTTACCTCAGTTACTGGGCATTATCAGTAATTGTACCTAGTTTAATCTCGCAATGCAGTTATATGGTAAACATTCGGTTAACCGAAAAGAGATCTTTTGTACGAAAATATATTTATCAATTGAAGTTTGTTTTTCTCTCTATTTCTTTGGAGAAATATTAATTTTCATAAAAATGTATTTTCAATACTGTTGAGTTGTTGGGAGAGTTCCTGCGTGTATGTATTCGAATAAAGACACAGTTGTAGGGATAAATACTGGTATATTTGTAAGAGGTAATTAACAACAGAGTGATTAGTAATAAGGAACACCGGTTAGTAAGTAACAATAGCCAAAGTCTACAGTCCAACGGTATGTAATGGTAACCTGATCTCGACTGCTGTCGCTGAACCTGATCCTCTCACAACCCAACTACTCTCTCTAGCACTGACTTATATCGTAGAGGGATAAGTCCATTATCAGTCAGAAGGTGGGTGCACCCCAACAAATACTGAGAATTTTGTTTATAGCTCATATCATATTAAACTAAGCCCTGAATTTGGGTCAATAATTATGGCATTGAATATCCAATTTACAATATAAAGATACTAAATAACTGTAATCTGACTTAAGTGTGTAAACTGCTCACCCGAGTTGTTTATAACACATTATTTATCATCTCTTAGTTGCGTATTCTGTCTGGGCAGAGTGCGTTCATGGTCGGCTCCGTCAAAAGGACTCGCAGCTGAGGTAAATTATACTGAGCGGTGCCCAGCCCTGGAGAATAGCTGCGCAAGGCCACGCTATCTTATTGCCCCAGAGAGAAGGATCGGTGCTTGCACCGAAGCTAGCACAAGCTTCGGATGCGGGGGCTGCAGGCAATTTTTGTTCCTCGCCTGCTCGGGCTCCCCACATTAAAGCGAGCTTGCGTCACAACCTGACATCGTAGCGTGGGTAGAGTAAATAGAAACTTTAATCTGACTTTGTATTCTATTGTAGGTTTTGTTAATTTTAATCGATGATAAAAAGAATAAGAGTCACTTCAACCATTGAGACAGAATATATTATCAAGAAGCTTGAAAATATCGAATATATTGAGATTGTTAAAAGGAAATTATTTTATGTCCGCATAGCAAAGAATTTTGTTACGCAAAATCTCTTGGTAATTGATCGGATGAACTCTTCGCTATGGTACTTTATGAATTTAAGCGTAATAAAAGATTACAGATTGTTCTTTTTTAAATTTATTTAATAGTTTTTCAATAGAATATGCCTCTTCTGTCCATCTTAGATATTTATGAGTCTATGCCTTGAATATTGCTGCCATATATGCTCCGTTGCTTTTCCTATATATCTAGAGATACATAATAAAATCAATAGAAGATTCAGCAATATTATTGGTCCTGATCTGGCATTTCGGCTTCAGTCACTTTCCCACATCCGTAATGTAGCTTCCCTGTGCCTTTTCTATAAATACTTTCATGGTAATTTTTCGGATGAAGTCTTCGTAAAAAAATATACTTAAGAAAATCCAAAGGCCATGAAAAGAAAAGGCAATTTTTGATAGGCTACGAAAATAATATATATTGGAAATATTCAGCAAGACATTTGAGAATCAAAATTGGGTCCAATCCACCTGCTTAGCACATTTATTGTTGTGGTGTCCTTGTTATGTGTCAGAATTAAAGACACAAGAAAGGAATTGAGGTTAATAAATATATTAACAGAAACAGTAATACAAACATATACAAACGAGTGTGTTACAGCATAGAATGTTCGGTTCGACTGTCAGAACTGACTGCTGGAAATTTCACCCCTTCCAAAAGCAGACAGTATATATATATATATATATATATATATATATATATATATATATATATATATATATATATATATATTGTTGTTTTACATATCTCTCTACGTAGTAGTTGTCGTAGTACAGTTCTCCGTGTCCTGAATAGCAACCGGGTTTGCTAGGCATAGCCACCCTATGTTCGCCAGTTGTTCTCCATAAATACTTGTCTATCTTATTTGCATACGATATTACACACACACACACACACACACACACACACACACACACACACACACACACACACACACACACACATACACACACACACATATATATATATATATAATAGAAACTTCAGGTGTTTCAATGTTGTTGAACCCTACTATATATAGTCAAGTAATACGTTGCCAGTTGATAAAGCTATACTCATTCGTTTCATTCCGTAACAACCATGGCTGAAAAGACATACTTAAGAAATTCCGAAGGCCATTTAAAGAAAAGGTAATTTTTGGCAGTTTATGAAAATGGTGGAGACTGGAAGACGTTTGAGAATCAAAACATTCACAGCATCTAGGTGAATAAAGGAAGTTTATAATGTAGATACAAGAGAAGTCGAAATGAATTCGAAGATGTCTGAGACCAAGAGACAGTTTGAGCAGAACCCAAGAATCACCTGTGCTCAGCTTGCAGAAGAAATTTAGAAGTACTATATTTCTGTATCAGGTGAATTTATTCTTCAGAACCTGGATGACTTAATGAACACTATCAAAGATATAAGTGTTTGAAATAAGGAATAAGCACCAATAAGTAAAAGAGAAAGGAATTTGCCGAAAGGTTATCAACCTGACAATTCCTCATCCTAGTTATGAACGAAACAAATTTCAGCCTTAATATTACGAGAACACAAGGTCGATCATTGAGAGGAGAAAGATGCAGTTCAGGGGCTTCTAAGGATGCAAATCTAGTTCGATGCATTTGTACCAAGGGGCTAATACATCATAAAATTCATCAAGGTTTCAACAATAAGGAAGCGGCTAGAAATTGGACAAAGGAATTCTTGCGGAATTCCAATAAAATCTATGAGGAACCAACAGTTATTGTCACTGACAATGGTCCATGCCACTTCAACACTGAGAAAGTTTTACTCGATCCAGAATTTGAGCGCGATTATTTATATCAAATGGTACCGTACAAACCTATGTTTAAACCGATAGAAAACGTTTGGTCTGTTATAAATGTATTCATCAAACGAAAATTGGTTGAAAGTATAGGTGAGATCCTCAATGCAGAAATTCCATCAGGGACACCGAAAATGATTTTCGATTGGACAATGTAGAAGACATAATTGAAGAATCCTTAAAGGAAATAAAACCAATGCTATGCAATTGCCTCATAGCTAAAATCCAAAGAATACTTCCATAAGTATTAAATTTGAACGATGTCACGTATTAAACTTATATCAAGAAACACTATTCTTGTGTTAATTTTGGGTTTTCTCATTTTGATTTTGCATTTTCTCATTTTCAGTTTGGAAATTCTCACTTTGAACTTGTAATGGTAGATAGCCAGGAATCGAGATCTCATCAATTGCTCATATCTATCTATCTATCTATCTATCTATCTATCTATCTATCTATCTATCTATCTATCTATCTATACCAGCCTGCTCATATCTATCTATCTATCTATCTATCTATCTATCTATCTATCTATCTATCTATCTATCTATCCCAGCCTGCTCATATCTATCTATCTATCTATCTATCTATCTATCTATCTATCTATCTATCTAAATCTGAAATCCTCTCCCGCCAAGGTAGGTGATAAATCCACTAAGTAGCATGGGGTTCCTTGAATTGACAGAAAAATAGCAGACAATAAAGGAAGAGGAATTATGAAGAGAGAATATGACGATTAACATCGTACATCTGAGACTCACTCTCCCAGTCTGTTATATTTCTGTTTCACCATTTCTTTCCTATCTCTCTGGCTCCTTTATCATTTTCTTATGAATATTATAAAAAAACATAAGGTGATCTGCCAGTCTGCGACTTTGTCTGGAATTCGGAGACCAGACACGAAGCAGGTGATGCCTCAAATGGTTTGCTCGATATTTACATTCTGCAATTCCTAAATCTGACGTAGACGTTCGCCTAAGATTTTATTACACCCCATGTGAATTAGGGAAATATTTGTCTGGGTGCCTCGACAGCTGTCTACCTAATCACAGTCAATGCTTACGGCATTTCTTCGATGGCCGAATGACATAAATACAGTCACAACGAAGTTTAGAACGAGCTTTTGCGTTATCTTCCAGTCGGCTAATCCAAATCAGACTTCTTTAGCGATAAAACAAAACCAGCCACGGCGAGCCGACATCTGTGTTGCCTTCCTGATGTATGAGGCCGCCATTTTTCTTACCCGTTTAAAATGGTTGAAAGCTGAAATTGTTCTTTCTTACCTCCTGGGTAATCTTCCCTTAAGAAGCGCTGCACTGGCAGGTTTTATCAGTGCAGGTCCTTTCAATATTGACCTATACCCACAAGGGTCGTTCTCTTCTCATAAGATATGCAATTAATGTCAGAATATGAGCCAGGGACAAAAATAAAACTGTTATTCCAATCAGAATTTTGTATATCGCTCTCGCTGACAGTAAATCTTTTATATATTGCAGATGTAAATGAACACGTTTGTTTCTTCGCTACGTACTTTTTCCCCTCAGGACGTAGGCGATGATAGCTCTCCATAAATTCCTGTCTTTTGTAACTCTTGATAATAGTGTTTTTTTTTTATTTCTCCTAAATCCTGTGCCGCTATCAATATATTCAAGCTGGCGTATGCTATGCGTGGTTTTTCTCTGTTCCACTTGTCCTCCATCTGCCCTGTGATTATCCGATTTTCCAAGCTTTCTTTCCTCATTTCAAATGTCTCCTCTGAATTGCGATAGTTCAAATTTGATATATCTGCTTTTCTGCCACAAACAAGGGAATTTTGCAACAAGGAAAATTATGTTGGAGAAACGGGAACAGAATTTCGACTTCGGTTTAATAACCAAAATAAAATGATCAGGGCCAACAACAACATACCGTCGCAGTACACTTCAACCAACCATGTCATAGCGCCGCTGACACCAGTTGCGTGCTTTTAGCGTCTTCATTTAACATCCGAGAAGAAAGGCGACGATCAGAGTTGAAATTTATTTTCAAAATAAATTCGCTCATTGATGGATTAAACAGAGATTTGGGTTTACTCAAAGTTATACTTTCCAGAAGGAGACCTCCAACCAACACTTCTCGGAAGAGTAATCCCCACTTATTTATTTATTCCTCGCAAAAAAAAGCGTGTTCGACACTACCAACTTTAAATTCTATCTCTTCATGCTACAGTTCAGTCAAAAGGTTAATATATAATAAATATCAATTTTATTAACAACACTGGTTTTTTATTCCGCAAATTTTATTAATCAGCCTATTATATATATATATATATATATATATATATATATATATATATATATATATATATAGTATATTAAAATATATATTACATGTTAAAAACAGTAAAATCGACCTCGCTAACCAAGACGCTCCTCTGTAGCTAAATTGGTGTAGCACGTTAGGCAGGCTATAAGATGGTTTCGTCTAGCAATTTTTGTGTTAATTCTCGATACTATATTTTAATGAAAGTCCATTGTGATTGGGTAACTAATTGGGGAAATTTGGCTTGAGTTTTCCCAAGAGAGTGGATACTTGAACTTATACTAAGTTAAAACTTATAACATAAAAAGACCCGGGTTCGAATCTCACTATGGTCGATTTGTCAGGAAGTAGACTTCCTGATGTTTTCGGAAGATCGACCGCAGTGTCCGGCATCTTTGGAAAGTGCCTGAAAACTATACCATGGTTTGACTAAACCGGTACCCTCAGTATGAAGAGACGTGAGTCAAATTGGGTAGATCGGGGGCGGTGATAGCACGAAGTCACAAGTCATCGTGGTCGAGGGCTTCAGTGAGCTGGCCTTGTTCAAATTGTTGATCACGCTAGATAACACGCTATTTCCCATAAACTGGAACTACGGTCTGCTCAGCATAGTTGCAGTATAAACCACAGGTCTGTGGGTGTTGAATAAACGCCTTCCTAGTATCCTTGAATACTAGTGGCGAGCTATACATATATCAACTCAAGTGCCACTCGTTAGTGTTTGTCTGGTTGGTCTTGGTATCTGGGTAGAACTCAAATTCCTTTGATAGAAAAATCACCTCGCCTATGCTTTCGGCCATGAAAATCAGAAAAAAATTACTTCAGACTTGCCGTAAGTGTAAAAAAAAATACCTTTGAAACGATGTCAGTCTACTCTGTCCATATAGTGTCAAGCTGACTGCTATACAACCACACTGACCAGCTACCTTACAAGGAACATTGTGTGATTTAACAGATTTGTTACTCTATTCCTATTACCTTTTCTCCTTCCTAGTATACCAGAATGTCAGTTAAACATCGCATGTTCAAAAGTTGAATGTTATCTGATTGACTCTCCAAATTAGTTATCTCATTCTGGGTAAGACGATAAACTAAGTCCAGCAGCAAGGCCTGTGATCAGAAGGTTTTGAGGAGCCTGGAACCACATCTTCATTACAATAAAAAAAATTGTCGGCATTAATTAACCCATTGAAGTTGATATGCCGTTAAACAAAATAAGGCAAACCAATCTAAACCAAAGAATACATATTCTATGTATACGAATCTATCCTAAAAAATATTGTCGGCATTAAATAACCCATTGAGGTTGATATGCCGTAAAACAAAATAAACCAAAACAATCTAAACCAAAGAATGCATATTCTATTCATACGAATCTATCCTAAAAAATGTTGTCGACATTAAATTAACCATTTAGGTCTTGATATGCCGTAAAACAAAATAAACCAAACGAAACCAAATTAGTTTATCTAAATGTTCATTCCTCGAAATAACTGGAAATCGGAAGCAGGACTATTTTGTTTTGTATTTTTTCTTTGTTTTGTTTGTTTTATTTGTTTTTAATAGGAGTAGATAGGATTTCCTATCATCCGGCCCATACACCGCCCGCTTCTCTTGAACAGGAGTAGATCATGTGGTAGTGTCGGTAAACATCTCTTTCCGCTCCCCTACCAGCCAAGAACCTCCTATCAACAGACTATCTTTCTGTTATCAACGGGCGGATTGGGACTCGTTCTGTGACTTTCTTTATGAGGTCCTTGGGATGCAGTTTTTATTCATTCTGTTCATAAATGCTCTTCTGAGGTTTCTTTATGTTTGTTTCTTGTTTAAGAATTCCCGATTCATTTCCTTCCCTCTGGCCTTAATAGTGGTGCTATCATAAGTTTTTTGCGATATGTGAGGATGGTGACAACGTCTCATCATACTGGTGATACCGGTTTGGCAGTTTTTTGGTTGCTGTTTCCAACTGGTAATTAGGAGTTAGAACTCTTGAGTACCGTCTTCAGAGGCTACTCTGATTAACAGTTGCATAATATCGGGGTACTTACAGTGCCATGTCCCGCATGGGAGGGCGTCCCTGCAAGTACCTCCATTGGGCAACCCCGCGGCCACACTATGTAGCAGTCTGTGCCAGTTCCCTTCCTGGACATGTTACATTAGACGACCGACCTCTACTACGACTTTAGGCCTGTCCTTACCAAAACTACCCACCATGACGATAAGGTATCAAAGATATAAATTTAAACCAGCTCAACAAAAATCACCTAAAGCCCCCAAACTTTCCTTCTCCAAAATTCTTGGAATTCGTACCAAATTTTGCAGTGTGGAATCATTCCTCTTCGAAAAGTCTCCGGACATTCTGGCTCTCTGTGAATTCTTCAATCTGAACTATTCGATCCCTTCCTCTGTTTTCTCGACTCCTGGCTATCTTCCTCTCCTTAGGAAGAACTATACTATCCACAGTAGCCTGGGAATTTGTCCTTGAATATCTCTCGCTGGCAAGGGAACTCTCTTGACTCCTCACACCACTCTTACATATGTCCCCGTCTGTCTCTACTTAACTCTTCTTTCTCTACCGTCTTCTTTCTCTCATGAATGTAGCGTGCTGCCTAGTATTTCTAATACACCTGTCTGCTAGTATATTTGTGTTCGGTCACTCTAATGACAACCGTACCAGGTGGCTTAAACACGCTGTCACTGCCCCCGCTGGAATCGGGACCTTTAATTTCTCATTCACTCAATCTGTCATGCAACAGGTTGGCTTTCCTATGCGTTTCCCCAGTAACCCTGACGGACACGCTTCTCTTTTAGATCTTTTATTTTTACCTCTATTCTGGACTCATGTCATACTATGCAGCTCTGCCCTCTTGGCAACTCTGATCATGGAGTAGTATCTGTAAACATCTCATTTCGTTCCCCTACCAGCCTAAAAACCTACAAACGGAATATCAATCTGTTATTAACGAGCGAATTGGAACTTGTTCTTTGATGTTCTTCGAGGCGTCCCTGGGAATGCAGTTTTTAATCATTCTGCTCATAAATGCGTGTCTGAGGTCTCCTCTTATGTGAAAGCCGGCATCGATGCTTTCATTCCAGCAAGGAAATATCAAGTTAAACCACCGTGCATCACCTTGGTTCTCACCTGCCTGCTCGACCCAGAGGAATTGCTTCTTCCGACTGTCGACACATCAGATTGCAACAGACGTCTCTTTGTCTCTACCTGTAACGAGTGCAAGCGTGTCCTCAAAGAAGTGATGTTAGTTTGCTGATAAAATGAAATACGCTTTTCTTCTAGATCTATTTTTACTTCAATCACGGACTCATGTCATACTTTTCAGAACTGCCCTCTTGGCAACTCTGATCATGTGGTAGTGTCTGTAAACAACATCTCTTTTCTGACCAGCCAAGAACCTCTTATCAATAGAATATTTTTCTACTATCAACGTACGGATTGGGAATCGTTCCTTGACTTCCTTTGTGACGTCCTTGGGATGTAGTTTTTACACATCCTGATCATAAATACTTGTCTGAGATCTCCTCGGGAGTAAAAGCCGGTATCGATGTTTTCATCCCAGAAAGGCAATACCAAGTTAAAATGTATTCATCACCTTGGTTCTCATTTGCATGCTCGGCCGCTGTAGCCCATAAAATTTACTTCTTCCGGCTGTACCAGAGCGACACTTCTGATTGTAACAGATGTCTCTTTGTCTCTACCGGTAACGAGTGCAAGCATGTCCTCAAAGAAGCTAAGTTAGTTTGCTGATAAAAAGAAGCAATGTATAACATCTCGTAAGTTCGGTTCTAGAGATTATTGGCGCCTGTATTATAGTGTGCTGAAAAACAGTAAATCGTTCATCCTTACTCTATTCACTCAATTCGAAGTCCTCACATCTACAACAGATAAGGTTTAATGCTGTCCTCGGACATTCTCTTCCGACTCAATACTCGACACATTTGGAGTAACCACACCTGATTTCCCTCCTAGAACAGAGGCTCTACTGAGTAATATATGCATAACCCCATCACAGGACTCAGATATTATTTCTAAATTAGACTCGTATAAGGCAAGTGGAGGTGACGAGATTCCAGTCATTGTCCTAACGAAATATGCACCCAAGCTGGTTCCACTTCTCTCCAATCTCTACAACTATTGCCTCACTGCTTCCAGCTTGTTGGAAGTCCTCCTCTGTAGTTCCTGTTTTTAAGAACTCTGGAGAACATTCTGACCCCTCAAACTATCACCTTTTAGCCTTCTACCGCTTTTCGGCAAAGTATTTGAGGATTTAATCAATGCTGAAGTGGTTAAGCATCTTACCTCTCACGACTTACACTCTGAGAAACAATATGGCTTCCAGGTCTACCGCTGATAATAACGGCGAATCTCGAGCTGCAGCTTTAGATATCTCGAAAGCGTTTGACAGTGTTTGGCACGCAGATCTTCTACGTAAGCTCCAGGGCTACAGTACTACTGGACGATTATTTGACTTAATCCGATCGTTCCTATTAATTCGTGAAATGAGGGTCGTTTTGAACGGACTCTCTACCAGATCCTTTCTTATCTACGCGGGTTTCCCCAAGGTTTTATTCTGGGTCATTCCGATCGTCATCACTGATCATCGTGATGTTATCTGTTCCCAAGTAGGCATTTATGCTGATGACACTACCATTTACCTCTGTCTCAACAGCAAATCCGTCAGAGTTGGCAAAGTTAACCTGGCCGCTGCTCTTGAAAAGCACCTCTAGTTAGTAGTTAATTAAGACAGGAAATGGCTCGTAAATTTACATGCCTCCAAAACGAAACTTCCCTCATTTAACCACTATAGAGAACCTTTCATATCCACCATCAGCATGGCTGATACTAGACTTATGGAGAGCAACGAACTTAACCAAATTGGGCTTACGTTTTTAACTGACTTAAAGTGGAACGACTACATCAAATCAATAACTGCATCTACAGAAAGCAAATGTGGTTCAATGTATTGTAACAGAAGGTTATTCTCGTCAGAGTTCATTTTGCATATTTACAAATCTACGATTCGTCCGTACATTGAATAGTGTTGCCATATCTAATCAAGTGCTACTGCTACTAATCTTGAGGTTCTTGATAAATCCCAAAGAAGGATCTGCAATGTAATCGATCCTGATTTGGCACCTCGCTTTCCGTGTCTTTCTCACTGACGTGACGAGACTTCACTCTTTCTTTTCTACAAATTTTTCATGGCAACTACTTTGACGTGCGTTTTTCCGAGGTGCTCCGACTACATGAATTTAAGCGGGCTTCTAGATTAGCATCTAGATTTCAAATTTTAACCGCTGAAATATTTTAATGTAACCGCCACTTGTACACCAACAGTTTATTTTTTCGCACTTCCCATGACAGAAATTCGCTTCCGTTTACTTGCTTCCCTGAAAACTACAATCTTCAAAAATTTAAATGCAAAGTCAATCGCCAAGTTCCGTTCAGTTTTTATACTCTCCTCGGTCTCTACTCTACCCGGTTTTTATTTGTCTCACCTTCACTCACTGTAAGTCTCTCTGTATTAGTAGCATTCCCGCTGGGCTTGTGCTGAAATGATTCATATATATATATATATATAGGCATATATTGGTTATTGTGCATTCAATTAGTGCGCTAAAATTTTATATACTAAAATTTGATGTGTGCATACATAACACTCGATGAGTGCGGTAAAACATTCTTCAGTTTAGCCATAGTAATTGCATTACATTTTAGTATTTACCGACGTACACATTACCGCACTAATCGATGGATTCCTGTATATGCATACCTGCCTGTTCAAATCTATTCATGCAGTTTGTAGTATCTATCTATCTATCTATCTATTTATCTATCTATCCCAGCCTGCTCATATCTATCTATCTATCTAATCTATCTATCTATCTATCTATCTATCTAGTATCTATCTATCTATCTCAGTCTGTTCATATCTATTCATGCAGTCTGTAGTATCATTATCTATCTTTATATCTATTCATAATGTCTGTAGTATCTATCTATCTATCTATCTATCTATCTATCTATCTATCTATCTATCTATCCGTACATGAATACATACATACATGATGCATGTGCGTAGTGTGTGCGTGTGTAAGATTAATTAGATATTATCTTGAAAGAGACTTCTTTAAAAAATCTATCTATCTATCTATCTATCTATCTATCTATCTATCTATCTCAGTCTGTTCATATCTATTCATGCAGTCTGTAGTATCATTCTATCTCAGCCCCTTCATATCTATTCATAATGTCTGTAGTATCTATCTATCTATCTATCTATCTATCTATACATGAATACATACATACATGATGCATGTGCGTAGTGTGTGCGTGTGTAAGATTAATTAAATATTATCTTGAAAGAGACTTCTTTAAAAATCTATCTATCTATCTATCTATCTATCTATCTATCTATCTAAATCTGAAATCCTTTCCCGCCAAGGTAGGCGATAAATCCACTAAGTTGCATGGGGTTCCTTGAATTGATAGAAAGATAGCAGACAATAAAAGAAGAGGAATTATGAAGAGAGAATATGACGATTAACATCGTACATCTGAGACTCACTCTCCCAGTCTGTTATATTTCTGTTTCACCATTTCTTTCCTATCTCTCTGGCTCCTTTATCATTTTCTTATGAATATTATAAAAAAACATAAGGTGATCTGCCAGTCTGCGACTTTGTCTGGAATTCGGAGACCAGACACGAAGCAGGTGATGCCTCAAATGGTTTGCTCGATATTTACATTCTGCAATTCTTAAACCTTATGCAGACGTTCGCCCAAAAATTCATTACACCACATGTAAATTAGGGAAATATTTGTCTAGACGCAACGGCAGCTGTCTACCAAATCACAGTCAATGCTTACGGCATTTCTGTGACATAAATATAGCCAAAACGAAATTTGAAGATTTATCTTCCATTCGGTTACATGTCCGCTTTCCCTGTTTCTCTCTCTCTCCCCGTCTCCTTGATTGATTTGTTTGTTCTAACGGCATATCAACAACTCATGAGTCATTTAATAACGGAATTTAATTTTCTTTGGAATTTTGAAGTAATACACATATGATATAAATTATTCTGCATTCACAATTGAATAAATATATGTTACTCAGCATATACATGTTTACGTGGACATGATTATTAGAGGCGGTGATATGTGTGTTTTATGTTGTAGATCTTTAAAGTTATATTTCGTAATACAGTTTGATTTGCGAAATTATAGGATACTAGCAGCATGGCCTGGCGTTGCCTGTGCTTGATTCAAAAATCGTACGAGTCATACAGCAATCGCTTTCACTTGACTTAAAATATTTTTGCCCTTCCTTGCCTTTAAAGAAGTGCTCTTTGCCGTGCTGATGTTGCTACATGCCTTACTTTTTGCCTATCTCACACTGCGAATATTTTCTAAACTCTATACTAACAATTAAATCTGTTACGAAAAAAGAACTAAACAAAATGAAGACAAAACGATCAGCTTTAAAAAAAGGACTCGTAACTGGAAAAACCGAATGAAAAAAGAATGTTAACAACAAATACTTTTTCACACCCAATCCCAGTTCTGCGGAATCAGAATCAACGTTGAGTTTAAGCAAGCGAATGAGCCAATTGGAGTAAAGTGCCATGCAGATTTAAATTTTTCCCACTTGTGACGGATGCAGCTATCGATTTTTTTTGCATGCTAGCATGCTAGTTAACATTCGTGTCAGTCAGTTGTTGGCTATCACGCTGGCCAACAGAATCTTCCTGTCTATTTGTGGCATCCAGCTATTGGCTCTCACTCTGGCCAGTACAAAATGGCTGCAAACTACATGAAAACTGCCGTAGAAGCATGAAAAAATCGATTATTTCCACCATCGATGAGAGTTGGGAAATGCAAAGTTGGTCTTGGCCTTTCCGCTAACTTGTGCATGTAAATGTTGGTGCAAATTGCGGTCGTGCATTCGTTACACACACACACACACACACACACACACACACACACACACACACACACACACACACACACATCCTGCCTTTTATAGGTAGAGATTATATGGATTAATGTAATGAAAGTGTCATTTTATCTTGATAGTTTTATAATGTTTAGCAACATATCGATCTCTATGGGACATTTAATGCCAAAATCTGAATATTTTGAACAACATTGTATGCCGTCAACTACAGATAATATCTGTCTATATTTCTGAGATGAGGTATTTACATTATTCGGACTATAGTCTTAATCGGTGTCGCCATATTTATTATAACCTTTCGGCCGTTGTACGCTCCGGCCTACTTCCAGTGGTTGAAATGTCAAGCTGAACCCTTTATTTCGCAATTGCAATATAAGCACTGGCAAATATGGTTGCTGAAGACATTAGGTTTATAATAGCCAGAAATTCATACACAGATATTGTCACGGACACATGGCACAGTGGATAAAGTCGTTAGTTAGTGAAAGGACCCAAAGTGTGTGAGTTCCATACTCTGTTAAGGAAGTGGAGAACTCGGAGAGGGGAATTAACAGTTGAGAACTGGCATCCATTAAACATGGCACGGGGAACTAGAAAAGTCTACCCAGTGAGCGAAATAAAGGGTTCCTTCCGACATTCCATTTTATATAAAGCTATAGTGCTGGTATTTTTACAATAAAAATGTATTTTTATAGTTTCATAGTGTTTTGTTTAGGGGGATCACTATTTACCCGTAGCTGGGTCCCTAACAGGTGCTATCAGCATTGGTCAAGGTGAACCTGATAATAGCTGCATTTAAGAGGCGGTTCCACGCTTCTCAAAACACCCAATCTCCCGATCAGATGCCTTTTTGCCGGATGAAGCTTATCGTTTTATGTTTTAAATTATTTTTACCGATCCGAAAAATCCTTAAAAATCTTTACAACTGAACATACGAAATATCAAATGTTACAATCTTCCGCCATTTTTTGATGGCAGTCGTAAAGTTGAAATGAAATAAACATAACGAAAAATTGTTCCTATGTTAGCTACAAATGCCACCTGAAATCGAACCCGTTTCTTATATTTTCCTGATTAAAATCTCGACGAGATTCACGGCATTTCTTTCAGGTTTGTTCGTTCAGCCAAAAAGAATTTGATTTTTTTTTTAAAAAATAAGATACTAAAAGAAAATCCATTGAAAACTAAATTTGCAAACACTGCATGCGCACTATTACCGGATAAAAGCTTCAATCAACTTTAGGAAATTTTCCCCAAGTTTTCTGTGTGCTGTGAAAAAATCTGATTAGTATGCAATCTGTGAAAACATAATACCCACCAAGAAATGTTCATTTACGCGCGAATCCTCATTATAAATTAATATAAAGAGCTACTGATGCGTTCACTTAATATATATATATATATATATATATATATATATATATATAAGTAAATAATTTAACATTGATTAGTAAATATCAAGAAAACAGAGATGAACAAGTCAAGCATACTTGCAGAAAAACACATGCTAATCGGTTTTACAAATAAATGCACAAGCCATTATAGAAAGAGATGATTTTTGGAAGATAAAAAAAGATTGAACAGTAACTCATCCATACAATCAGCCACTCAGTACACCCTGATTTAGAATATCGTGATTTACTAAGTGTAGATTAGATTCGATACAAGGAAACAATCCTCCCCATAATATGTCCCAGAAATCAAGCACTTCTACACCTGTGTAGGGATCAGTGATATCAGATTTAGCATCGCCAAAGTCGTATTGGGATTGTCAAAGATGCATTCCAAAAGTTGCGTATTAAGAGTCAGGAAAATGTCATTAGAAACGACAAATAAGAGTACTGAACTATTACGTGATATTTGTGCCTCCTTTATCTGGACAATCGCCTCAAAGATGAACAAGAGACTAAAAGTTTATGTAAGGTTACAATTCAAATTCAAAATTAAACAACAATTCTTTTAAATTTTTTAAACTCTAATAATATTCCAGCCTGTGTGACCCAGAAAAATTCTTTTTCTTCCTCTTAAAAAAAAAACACCCAAAAACCGGTGTCGACCAAACATTTAAATAGAAATAAAAACAAATATAGTAATTCCAGCACTTGAAAATAGCTTCAGCATGAAACTCTGTGCAATTAATGTAAGATATTATGTATATTACTTAACATAGGCCACACTACAACATGTTTGACACGCAGACTCACTCAACACCTTTTTGACCATAGTTCAATTAGATTTCATTTAAATATTCATGGAGACCTACCGGACACTGTGCGTAATATACTTGTTGACAACACTAAATATAATAGCATGATCTACATACAAAAAACAGGCTAAAATAATGGAAGCCTTATTAATAAAAACAAAAAAAAATCTAATAATATTAACTTTGAACATGGACACAATATCTTGACCGTGTTTTAAAAAATGAAAACATTTTATAAAACATACATACAACAACTATTTCTTATTTAACAGTTAAAATAGTTAATACTTGAAAATGACTAAATGTATAGCCGAAAGCGCTCAGATAAAAAGAACATTCAGATTGTTTTTATATAATTTATCAACCGAAAAAAAATATTAGAAATTGTATAAAAAATTAAATAAAAGCACCTTGTCTGTCCTATTCAATGAAATGTATATCTATCTATCTATCTATCTATCTATCTATTTATATGTGTGTGTGTGTTTGTATAATATCTATCTATCTATCTATCTATATATATATATATATATATATATATATATATATATAGAGAGAGAGAGAGAGAGAGAGAGGGAGAGAGAGATTCTATATACATTTTATATATGTGAGGTGCTTATTGGAAAGCGGTCAATATCAGTGATAGTGCTAATATATTTAGTTTAAGGGATATGAGTTTGTGACCCTGGGTTTCACGATGTCTGCGATCCTCAGACAAACTGATTTATCTTTTTTTAAATTTAAAACTATTCATGTCAGCTTTTGTTTGATTACGTTTGGTGGTGGTAGTGTGGGGGGGGGCAAATTCGCCTCTGTGTCCTTTTTTTTTTTTATGCCCGGAGACTTAAATACGTGCGTAGGCATTATGGTTCGCACAAACACATACATAAATAATACGGAACCAGGCGCACACATGTATCCATATGTTTGAACGCGCATACATACGCAATTCAATTGTAATCTTATTTCGATGTTGGGACTGAGTGTAATAAAGTTTTTTTTTTCAACAAGGGGAGTGTTGGGTTGTGTTGTTGCCATCTTTAAAGTCGGTCGATTATATTATCCCGCATTGTTTATATATGTATATGTATGTGTTTGTGCAAACTATAATGCCTGCACCCGACCCGTATGTATGTATGTATGTATGTATGTCTCCTTTGCGTATGAGTGTCATTCCAAAAACAGACACAGAGGAGAATTCCACTCCCACCAAACATAATCAAACAAAAACATAAATAGCTTCAAATTTTACAAAAATAAATCAGTTTGCCTGAGGATCGCATAAGCGTGAAACCCAGGATCACAAACTCATATCCATTCAACTATATATATATATATATATATATATATATATATATATATATATATATATATTATATATATAATGAATCATTCATTACAATGAATTCAGTAAATTTGTAAAGTTATATATATTAAGAAATGGACAAGGTCCGACAATTTATTTATTAAAGACATTTTTATGTTTATGTCTATAAAAAATAACAACGTTAAACATAAAAATGTCTTTAATAAATAAAGTTATATATATATATATATATATATATATATATATATTTGTGTGTGTGTGTGTGAATCATTC